GCATCGCTACTAGGAGCAAGGACGCTACTAGGGGCTCCTGGCCTTACTACTAGGAGCAAGAACGCTGCTAGGAACAAAGGGCATCGCTACTAGGAGCAAGAACGCTACTAGGGGCTCCTGGCCTTACTACTAGGAGCAAGAACGCTACTAGGAACAAAGGGCATCGCTACTAGGAGCAAAGGGCTCCGAAGCAGAACGTCACTCGTCGCAGCGTCGTCGAGCAGTTCGACGGCGCAGTTCGACGGAGACGGAGGTCCAGCGCGCGCTCTTTCGAGCGGTCGGAGCAACACGGAGCGCTCTGTCGACGCCGGTGCACTCGGTCAGGGATGTCCACGGCGCTGGGACTCACAGTGAGGGCCCCAAAAGCGGCTTCGACGACCAGTCTCCAAACCTCCTTCATTTACTGAGTCTACTAGGAGACCCCAAGAAACAATTCTATTGAGTCTGTGAAGCTTGGTTTTGAAAGAATCACAGGCCTCAGGTTGATGTGCAATGGCCTGCATGGTCTACTTTGCCGTGAAAAAGAGCACATACAGAAGAAACAACAAGGAACTACAAGGTTTGTAGGACATGGTCGAAAAGAATACGAAAGAGTGTGACCATTTGTGGCATTGCCATCTTCCTTTTGCTTAGGCCCAGCTGCGAGCGGTCGAATCACAGCCTCGTGGCGTCACTCTGAGGGCGTGGTTTGTAACGGTGATTCAATTGGTAGCGACGGCCTCCAACCTAAGAGCGATGTGGCGGTGTGAAAATTATGATGAAAGTGTCCAAGTGTTGGTGTCAGAAGATGTTTCAAATGAGATCGAATCAACGAAGGCTCTTGTCTTTGATTCTCATCAAACAGCTTCCGTGTGAAGCTTCGAATCAAACACGTCTCCAAAGGAGAAGGTGACAGGTGCCGGTGTATAGGGTCAATGGTGTCAGAAGATGCTGGACATGATTGGGAAGTCGAAACAAGCTCGTTTCCACATTGTCGGTGCAAGTATGGGTCAAACTCATTGATGGTTCTTTGGCTGCTCATGTTTGGTCAAATGTCCATGCCTTCTCCCTGGATGTCATCAAAGCTATGACGTCACGATTCACAGTTCTTTGGTCAAAAAAAGTCAAAAAGCACGGTCCTCATCGACCTCATCAACCTTTGATCCATAGTAGCCATGGCCTCCAAC